CCCCCCCCCGACTTCCCAGAGCCCGTAAACGGTATAGATTTTTAACACATAACATCTTGGTGGCACATAATCAATCCAACTCATGTAATTAGGTTTAATAGTATTCATATATGTCCCACCATCTTTGCTCATCCTACACATCTGTTGGGGAGAGGCAGGTTTTGAGACTTTTTCATTAAACAATGTCATCTTGTGGGACCCCAGAATTGTAACTTTCTTTTGGCAGTTTTTCAGCCTACATAGTGAGTCACCTTCTAGATTGGAAGCAATGAAACACATCTGCAGAGTACCAGAGTGGAGAAGATTGCTTTACACTACTTGCTTTTATAGCCATGTTCCAAATGACATTCTACCATGTTTTTGTAACAGTCAAAATTCTATCAGGTTACATAGTGATACATAAGAGAGAAATGCAATCTAATTTTGCCAGATTTTCTCTGCCAAAAATATTGCAGTGATCCAGAAAGGTTTTTAGTGCTCTATGTTCCTTTGATTCAAATCCTGTATAACAGAAATGGTTTCGGCTTATTCGTCTTTGTGGCATGCAGTGAGGCTGCAGCACTGCAAAGTTGATGTTTAGGTGTGAAACCTGGAGCTCACTGTGCCTTAGAAACGGCACAGAAATATAGTGCTGGTTTCGTAGAGTCATCTGGAGGAATCCTGAGAGAACCATGGGTCACATGTAACTTGTCTATGGTGTAGTGTTTGATTTTCATCCATGGAGTGTTTGTTGAATGGTGTAGCCAATGGTAATTCTGTATGTCTCCTGTTGTGCTCTTTCCAATGCTTTGTAGCTGTCCCAGGAAAGTGGGGGCAGTTGCTTATAACCACACTGTTACTCTTCAAATCTAAAAGTGCTGTTTTGCTTTAAAAAAACCCATTCTATTTGAGTAAACACTTACTATCCTTGCGGCACATATAAATAAAAATGTAATGGTTGTTTGTTCAAAATCGCTAATCTCCGAAAGTTCTTCACTGATTGCTTTGAAATTTTGACACAACGTTGCATTCGAATATGTGAATGTTTTTATATACATATTACATAGATGTCACACCTGCAACAGGTAAAAACATGATTTCTGTAAAAACATGCTTTTTTGGAAACCAGCGCCATCTGGTGGACGTAAAAGCAACACACGCTATACTAAATATTTCATGATTCTATTTTAATGTTTCCAATTTAATTGTTATATTGAATTTTCATAGCTCTTGATTTATTTTCATTTTGATTTAATTATTTCATGTGACATTGCATTGTGCCATTTACCATAGTATTCATTTAGTGAGTATAGTATATTTGGAACAGTTCAGCCTCTCTCCAGATTCATCCCGACGGTCCCTTTATATGTGTGGCTGGGCTGTGGCCGCACTCTTTCCCCTTTCCATCCTCCAGAGGAGACAGAGGCAGAGTGTCTCCTCAACCCGGCTGGCCGCACACGCTCTCCACCCCCCTCACAGCGAGCCAGCAACGGCCTTGCCAAGGCAGCTCCAACGGGGCAGCAGTGGTGGTGTCAGCCTGAGGTAAAGCGGGGCTGGGGTGGTCCCTGGGTGCCCATGAGGTGGCTCACTGAGGACTGCTCCTCCTCCGAGATCCTGGACGTCTCACTCTCCCAGGCCACCAATTTGGGGGAGCCTGAGCGCAGCTCCTCCAAGGAGATGCTCAACAACTTCCACGAGGCCGACAGCTCCGGCGCTGTCTCCCCCAACCAGCGTCGCCCAGCCCAGCATCCCCGAGTCCTGACCAATGGCAGCACCTACCCGCCGCCCCACTACGCCCAGACTGGGCCACAGCAACATGTGGCTGGGAACAGCTAGTATTTCATATAAAATCCTGGTTATATATCACTAGAGAAAGCTTTAAAAATGCACAATCGTTTAAAACCCAGGCACACTTTTTTAAAAAATGCACCTCAGTTTTAACTGTGTTTTTTGAAATTTTATTTTTGCTTTTTGATTCATCTTTAACTGTTAATGGACTGGTAGAATGCTGATTTATTCTATAAACCCTTGCTGGATTTTAATGTAGATTTTTTACTTCTTTTTAATGCTTTATTTTGGAGTTGTGAATCACTTTTGCTTTAGCCTTATGGAAGTCGATGGCGAGAGGACTGGCCCACTGGGTAGTGAAAGTGACCTGATTTAAGTTACATTTTACACTGATTTTTACTACAAGGATTTTGTGTCCTCTTATTTTTTAAAAGCTCTGGTCTCATTTCTTTTAACCTCTGGTGAGAACTTCTTTTTCTTTTCACTTTTCGCTGTAGAAATATTATCTCAATATTTTCTGCAGTCATTCTGTTGTGATACAATTACAACTTACAAGGATCTTGTCCTTGAGAGCAACTGTTTACATTTGGTTGTGAAAGGTCAACTGCAAGAGTGTTTTGAATTATCTTAAAAATACAAACAATAAATTAAGGATTTTGAATACTATTCATCATATATTCCTTACAATATCCATAAGAAAGAGATATAAAAGAAGGGTGAAAACCAAATAAGCTTAATGTCAAAACACTTTGGAAAGTCTTTGAAAAAATGTTTTTTCAAATTACAAGCGCAAATTAAAATTTAAATAAAAAGTTTCATAACAATGGATTAAAATCAACCCCAAAATGGCACTCAGACACAAGTTACAACAACTAAATCAGACTTCCAGTTGAATGGATTGGAATCTAACTTGTTGCTAGCAGATTTGAAGGAGGAGGAGACTGCTTTGAGAATTGCTGGTTTGTTGGAGAAGGCTGAAAGGAGCCTGGATTCAAAAGAGTTGTAGATGGCAGAATCAATGAATGATGGAGTGGACTTTCTTAAGAAAATTTATGGAAATTGGGGGATGGTCTTATTATATCCAATCAGAAAACAAGAGATGACACATTTCAACTTGTAGGAAGATTCTTTGAACAACAAATGCTGTGGAGATATTTATAACAGATATTTATGATTTGGGGGAATGAGATGCAATTGTTGGGAAAGATCCCAGCTAAAATGTTAAGGAAAAGTTTGATCATTAAGAATCAATCAAGGATATCTGATCCTGGAAGGATCAGAGATAATCATTGCAGTGGCTTATGATAGATCAGAAGCTGTTGTGGACTTTTTACAAATTAAATACGATAATAGATAGTTTACAGAGGTCTTTCAAGTTTAATTTTGCTGTTGGCTTTACCTGTTAACTATTTCTTTTTCTATAGTAGATAGATGCCAGGTAAAATTGGTGGAGTAAACATAGTTGCAGAAGTTCATAAACTGTGGCCCTGTTTTACAAGGGAGGGAGGAACTATTATTGTTGAAATATATTTATCAGTATTCAACTGGGGGGGATCTATGTGTATGGTTTTTTTAATGCACTTTTAATGTCTTGTTTAAGCTTTG